AAGATTAGGGATGGACGGGAGCCAGCTTGCATTGTGTGTCACCAGGGCCTCTCCTCACTGAGAACCGGATGACCTCAGCTCACCAACAGTCAGATGTTCAGAGTGAGCAGAACTGGGGACATTCCTTGCCCATAGGGATGGTTTTACCTGGAAAACGTTTTTAACAGATATTTTCTCACTGGTTTAAAAAGACAGGTGGGGAAACTAATCCTGTACCAAGTGATTATCAAGTTCTCCTCTGCGCAGGGCTGCGTTCTCTCTTGTTAAACGAAGAAACATTTCACTCATGGGCATATTTCTGGCATCACTGCACATTTGAGCTGATGGGGACTGTGCAAGGCTGTTATTTTAACAGCTTACCAAAGAGGCTCACAGAAGAGGCTGGTGCTTTCTGCTTGGACTGCTTGTCAGCAGGCACCAGGGGCTTGGGATCAGGCTGTGCCCCTGCAGGGCTGAGGGCCAAGGAGCTGTGGTGGCCCTTTGGCTGCTCTGACCCTGCCGGGAGTGGAGCAGTGCAGAGGCCGGGACTCCCACGCACTGCTCCCGCCCTCCCGGAGCTGAGAACGCGACCTCTCGGCGGCAGCAATGTCACCGCTGGCTGCTGGGACGTCAGGCTGACAGAACAATCGATGCCGGGCTGCTTTGGTCGATGTGAATTTACAAATGAACTTCTGCCGGGAGAGGCATCACTGGTGTGAACAGCCTCTGCTCTCAGCAGTTTCTCAGAAGGGGGACCGGCACATCAAATGCACGAGCAAAAAGGTGATGCAGGTGAGGAGAAGCGTTTTGGCCCCAGGGTGAGCTCGTGGGTCTCCATGTCCTGAGATAACACTGCTGCTGCAGAGGAAGGGCATGTTCTCTCCTCCACAGCCTGCTGCCAGTGCAAGGGGAATTGCCCTTTCCCAGCCCGTCCCCAGTGTGGGTGAACACCCCGGCCCAAGGCACAGGACAGGGGAGGCTGGCCTGGGAAGAGCCTCGTGTCCAGGACTGTCCTGTGGGTGACACTCCCAGGGCTGCCCCGTGGGTGACACGCCAGCCCCAGCAGCAGGCAGGCTGTTGTGTAAGCATCACGCGGAGGCTGCTCGCGTGGGAGCAGCGCTTCACCTCCGAGCTAATTGCTCTCAGCTCTGCACACGAGTGACTCGGCGTGAATTGCAGCAGTTTGCTGGGCTACACTGAGCTCCTTCTCTGGTCCTGGAGAAAAACCCTCCCTGGAACCAGGCACTTGGGTTGGCTTGGGACTTCTGAAGGGTTTCCTGCCCTCAGTTTTGCACTCTCACCCACTGATGGACAGGAGTAGAAAAGAGGGCAAATTAGGAACATACTGAGGGAAAGAAAAAGAGGCATGTGGCCTTCTCAGACACAAACTCCTCCACAAGCAGGAAAATTGTCTAGTTCTACCACGTAGAGAAGTGATGGAGAGAAAACAAGGAACAAGCACATTTTCTTTTTTCTGCTATTCCATTTGATACCACATAAACTGTCATTAGATTATCAAAGCAGTTTTATTGAACTAAAATCAAAAGTTAGACATTCAGCGTCCCTGACAGGGGAACCCAGACCAACCTATTCCCCCCACCAGACTGGAAGATACATTCACTAAACATGTGAAATGGGAGACTTTGGCTCAAAGCTTGGAGGAAGTTTAGTTCCCTTTCCCTCTGCTCTGCTCCCTGCTAGGGATCTGTCGCCTCCCTGCCTGCCTGCAGCACTAGCCCTGCCTGCACAGCTCTTGTGCCCTGCCCTTCTCAGTGTGCCTTCTGCCCATGTGAAAATGTGGTCAGTGCCAGGTCATGTTTGAATCTGGTCAATTAGAGCCTGCTGAGCCCCAGGACCTGGTAGCTGTAGGCAGGCAAGATGGGGGAGTGACAGCAACACATTTCCATACTTAAGAGATGCCAGAAGATGTTTCTGCTTGGACAAAGCCGGGTAGGGATAATGGTAAGGGAGGATGGAGTCTGGATGCAGAAGGCCAGTCATGAGCCAACACCACAGGGCATGGTAGGCAGGTTGATGTATTTGTGGCTTTTCTGGCATTTATGAGTCTCCTCTGCAGCAGGGAGGAGGGATGGTACCAGCCCTGCCCCTCGCTCTCTGCCCAGGCTTTTTCTCTCCTCTTCATTCAACTTTACCTCTGAAGGGTGCCAACACTCCCACAGCAGCAGGAAGGGATCAGCCTTCAGCTGGATGTCTGTGGGAGATCCAGGCATCCAGTGGAGGTGGGCTGCACAGGAAAGAATTGAACTAACTGGGAAACAGACTGAAGGCAGGATCTGGTAGATCCAGCTGGTCTTGGGTGAATTGTGATCTCCTCTCTGTTGGCTCCAACCATTTGCACTGTGGGCTGTGGATGCTCTTCCCTGCTTTCCCCAAACTGGAAGAGGAGGAGAGCTGTGACAACCTGGAGGCAGCGCAAAACGAGATGGGCCTTTACACAGCAGTGTGTGAAGAAGGTGGGTGAAGCTGAGGCTGAGGAAGGAGGATGGATGAAGGCAGTGGTTACCTGCAGCAAGAGGGGGACTGAGAATCAATCACTGGCCAAAGTTATTCCCTGAAAAGGCCCAGGAAGGTTTGTGACATTGTTTATGAGCACATAGCACTTTGGGTTTGATTGGAAAAGACGGTGCAATTACAGCACTGGTTCCATGAGATCAGCCTCCACCAGCGGAATCACAGCCTGGAACTCTGCTGGCTGAGGTAGGACATCCACTCTTTGATGGGAGGGTTCCCCACAGCCACCAGTTTTTTCAGAAAGGCATTGGGCCGCAGCCCGGGGACATCAGGATGGGCCTCGGAGTACTTGTGCAGCTTGGCCAGCACGCGGGGCAGCCCCACGGTGGAGGCGTAGAACATGGGGCCACCCCTGTGCTTTGGCCACCCGTAGCCATTGATGTAAATCACATCCAGGTGCTCTGGGCCTGACGCTATTCCCTCAGCCAGGATGGCAAAGCCTTCATTGATGAGGGAAAACAGACACCGCTCCAGGATTTCCTCCTGGTCTATAAAGCGGGGCTCAATGCCGTGGGTGTCCCTGTACTGGGCCAGGAGGTTGTGGAGCCACGGGTCTGGCGTGGCTGTCCTGCCCCCAGCCTTCTCGTACTGGTACCAGCCCTTGCCGGTTTTCTGGCCGAAGCGGCCGCTCTCGCACAGCAGGTCTGGCAGGGGGCTGTACCGCTGCCCGTGCCGCTGCCGCGCCGGCGTCCCCGCGGGCACTGAGGGGCCTGTGAGGCCCTGGCCCTGCCGGGACCTCCAGCCCACGTCCAGCCCAGCTAGGTCAGACATGCGGAACGGTCCTATCTTAAACCCAAAATCTTCAAGGACCCGATCCACTGCTTCTGGTCTACTTCCTTCCTCTAAAAGGAAAACTGCCTGTTGTACGTATGGGAACATCATGCGATTCCCAACAAACCCAAAGCAATTCCCTACCACCACTCCAACCTTTCTGAGTGCTTTGGCCAACTGCATGGCAGTGGCGATGGCCGTGGGGGATGTGTGGCATCCGTAGATTATTTCCAGCAGCCTCATGACGTGGGCAGGGGAGAAGAAGTGGGTGCCAATGACCTGCTGTGGGCGGCTGGTAGCAGAAGCTATTTCGTCGATGTTCAGGGCTGATGTGTTTGTGCACAGCAAGGCCTCTGGCTTGCAGATCCTGGAGAGCTTGTGGAATATTTCCTTCTTTAGTGCCATGTTCTCAAACACAGCCTCAATGACGAGATCTACGTCACGCAACGAATCAAAGTCCACAGTGAACTGGAGACGTGCAGGGTTGTGGAAGTCCAGGGTCTGGGCACCCCGCTCCATTTTCATCGCTTCACGTTCCAAAAGGAGCATCACAGCTTTTCTTCCCGTGTTCAGATACTCCATATCCTGCTCTAGGGCTACCACAGGTATGTTGGCCTTAACCAGAGAAGTCACAATGCCTCTGCCCATTGTTCCCAGACCTAGGGATAAAAGTGAGATAGAGTCAAAGACTATGAATGGAAAATTAATCACCTGACAGTATCATTTCCTTTGTATCTCCAGGATAAAAATGATGGCCCCTGCAAAACAAGTGGTATACACACACAGAGAAAAGAATTGAATACTGGAAAACAGAAGGGGAATTCTGTCTTTCAGTGAGCCCACATGTTTGAAAAGCAGCAGCATAAAGGCAAGTTAATGTCCTCACAAGCTCACAAAAGTCCAGTGGGATTCACCCAGTGGGCACAGACCATCTGATTCATGTCTTCTCCCTGCAAAGTTTCATACCTATGGAAACCAGCATCACTTGAGTGAGAACCTGGAGATCAAAGAGAGAAAATGTGTTACAGTTGCAACCCTGTTACCATCTTCTGCAGGCAGGTTTCGAGCGAGCTTCCCCCTGAGGCTGTCAGTGCCCCACTGCTCCTGCATGGTCCGTTATGGGCAGTACACGAGTATTTGCTGGTAAGATTTTGACACCAGCAAAGCTCAGATAGTTGGTTTCTCCCTCCTTCTCCCTACTTTCCCTTTTGTCTCCCTCCTCTTCTCCCTCCACACTTCATCATGTAATCTTTGGAGCAAAGAAAATTCAGCTGCTCTTTCTGTAAAGACTCTCGGACTCTGATCTGCTCTAAACTCTGTCTCTAATGTCTTGTGTGTCTCTTGTTGCCAGGACAAATGGGCTGGAGCTGACACAACATTCCTAATCCAGAATTCAACATTTTCTCTCTCCTTTTAAAGCACTCTGGCACATCAGTAGCCTTTTGCCTGCTGTTCACACTTTATATCAAGCATCTCTACCCACTCTCCAAGTCGTCCAACACAGGTCATTCCTAATTTCTGGAGATTCCCTAAGTAACACAATCTTCCTTGTCCATCACACAGTTAAAGAATTCCTGGTAAAGAATTTATGCTGTGCTTTTTTTTCTCCAAGACCATAAATGTGCCACCACCATCAGGAATACCAGTGTGGAGATTACTGGCTTGATCCCTTCCACCAGCTCTGCCCTCTGTGACATCAAATGAAGCTGCATTTACACTTTCCTGTGACACACAACCCACACCCCTGACCCTGCTCTCCCACGGTGGAGGCTTTTCCAACTAAGTTAATATAGACTAGTAAGAGAAGGTCAGCCCATTTTACCAGCTTTAGAAGTGTGAAGCATCTGAATGGAAGGATTATTAATATACTAAGTAAAGCAGAAACCAGACAAAGCAGAGGTTTGTTATAATTCTGTTAAAATGATTTTTTTAATCCCAGGTTTACAAATGAAAGTCAGCTAAACAAATATACAAAAAAAAAAAGGGATTAAAAAATTTGCCTAAAGCAGCTTTGTAAAGAAGAGCTGAAATCATGTCATCCTTTCAAGAAGTTCCAACAACCAAGGTCAAGCAAGGTAGGATGTTTTTCCTGCATGCTACACACCCTTGGTATAGTTCTGCTCAGCCTCAGCTTGTGTGCACACAAGACATTTCAAACATTCCCTACTTGGCCACCAGAAGATAGTTTTTACTGACTTCACTAGCTGGCAGCCTGCTTATAAACCACCATTACCACTTCTAAGCAAGTGCTGAAGTTCCTTTCCAGGAAATTAGATTTGCTACTTAATAATCAAGTTCTACTGAAAACTAATTTGAAAATAAAACTAGAATAACATGAATCAGCCCTTAGTACTTCAGTGTCCATGATTTGCTGACTGAAAAAGACCAAACACAAGTGGCACCTCCCATTGTGCCCAGTTCCCAGAGCCTTGGATATGGGATCAGGTGCAGTTAAGGACAGTTTTCCCCTGTCTTTGGTGAGCTATAGGAACTGCTCTCTTCTTGGGCAGTGCAGAGGGTAACTCACTCCCCAAGCCCAGCCCTTGTCTATAAGGTGTCTTTAGACATCATGCTTAAGTGTTTGCAGTTACACATGGCTCCCTCTTAAGTTTCTTCCTTTCCGGGGTGGAGTCCTGGGTTTTCTCCCTGGAATTTCCAAGCTCTCCACACATCCTGGCTCTTATTGACTCCTGTTCCACTCAGGTTCAGCCTTGTGACTGAAATCTCAGCAATTCTCTCACCATCTGAACACGCTGCTTCTTCCTGAATCCAAACCTCTTCCATGAGCAGACGTTCTCCAACCTTCTTTCGCAGGGAAGCTCTGCAATGGTGTGAGGTGATTCCCCTCTCTGCTTTCATCCTGAGTGCTCCCACGTGGGTTTTAGCCATCCCATGATGGACAGGCACACAGGCTTGTAGTACTACACTTTCTAAGCCCCAGGCGCAGACTTAAGGATAAGATATGAGCTTGCCAATCTTGTTTCCGACCTAGAAAAGCTGTCTCTCAACTTCCTGCAGAACTCTGCAGTGGCCTGTATGAAATGATGTTTAATGAAGCTGGCAGAGAGAGTAATGAAAGCCCCAAGGGGTTTGTTACATTAGAGCTCGCACAGCATGATTCCCCTGGAGACATTTTCTAAAATTGGGCTATAAAACTAAGGAGAGCTCTGGCTATCCAGCAGGGAAAGAGCATTTCTGAGGACTCCCCTTTTCTGTTTCATAAAGCCAAGTGATCTTGGGGAAGAATACATTAGAGCAGAAAATAATGGTAGGGAATGTTTGGGTCTTACATGTGAGAAGGCTGTAGAAGAAGGAGGAAGGGAGATGTCTCCTGCTCGGCTCAGGTCACACAGAACAAAACACAGTGAGGAACTACTCCAGAATTTCTACTGCATGTTCCATTTTCTTACTCAATAGTGCTCTCACTTCCCTCAAACCACAAAACCCCCTATATTCTCATCTTGCAGACAGGGGACTGTTTTCATGTCCAAGGCACATCTTCCCAAAAAAGACTGAAATCTGCCTCAGGAACAAGAACAGTGCCCAGCCATCCTGCTCCTGGTCTTTTGTTGTGAAGTGAAGCTTTGACATATAAATAAAACTATACTTGAACACATGTAATTTCAGGCCAAATATGGGTATGACAAATCCATTTGCTGGGCAAGCTGAGTGAATAATGATGGTTAATTATTGATCTGTCATGAGGTACTCAGAATACGAAATATCATACAGAATTAATTGAAGGAATTTAAAAACAAATTTCAAAACAAAAGAACTTGAAATATGAACAAGGCAACTCGTGTAGTCACACGCAGTACAGAAATACAGATCAGTGGAAAACATTCTGAACTCTAATGAATATTTGGGCTTTAAAATGCCTGGCAAGGGAAATAATCCTTTACAGATTGGTAAAAATATGCAAGGACTGTTCCAGTTTTCCTGTTAAAAACAACAATGAGCAATTAGTGGTGGCAGGCTGCTGCAGACTGGAGCTGCTGCTTTCTCTGGTTCAAGCAGAAGTACTGTGATAGTCCAGGCAGGCAGGGAGCTATGGGGAGATGCAGTTGGAAGGGATAGAGACAGAAGAACTCTTTTTCTGGGTGATGAGGAGCCAGAGACAGGGAAAAGAGGTGGGAGCCAAGAGTTCAGAACAAGTAATGAAACAAAAGGTCAACATGAAAAACTCTACATGATCTTCTCGCTTCACATCACGCAGCAATAAAAGATGGAAGCAGCAGCATAGTGCAACATGGGTGTAGTCTGTGAAACAGCACAGCACAGTTGGAACACAGGGTCTGCTTGATTTCTGACAGCCTAAATGGATGCAATATCTTTCTCTGCCTGTCCTCTTCCCTGCAGTGAAAATAGAGAGACCCTGGGTCACCTCGGTAGACTCAATACTTGCATGGATGAGCAGCAATGTTTTAAAAGTTGCCAGTCTCTCAAAAACCATCCCTAAAATTTTGATTTCTGGTGCTGCAAGGATGTACTTAAGATCAAAACTGTGAAGGTACAAAATGCTGTGAAGCATTGTACTGGCTGGAGAATGACTTTTTGTTACAGCAGCCTGAAAGAAAAATTACAGTTGTGTTTGCATGTTCTCCACCTGTCTCTAACAGACTTGCCATTTCACTGATATCAAAAGGCAAAATGAAAGAAAACCTAGAAGAAGGAGAAGAAGCACAACAACAAATGGCAGAAAGAAGTGGTGCAAAGCAGTGACACTTTGGTGTGGGATTCAGGGTTTAAAAAAGGTGATCAAGAACCTCCAAAACAGGAGATGTCACATCAAATGAAATATGACGTGAACAAGAGCATAAACAAAGCAAGTTATACTGGTGGGCCATGGGGGCTGGGTGAGAAGAGCAGTGATTCAGCAAAGCCATTGGGGTCTGGGTGAGTGTCATGGCCCTGAGTGCACTGAGAAGCTTTAATGTCCCTGACCAGCCACACCTGGAGCCACTGCATGGACCTCTGAGCCCCATTTAAGCTCAGACCTGAGTCTATGGTCCCTTCCTAAGCTATGCTGGAGGAGTTCTGGTGGGTTACTGTGGCTGTGCCAGGCTATGGACGCTGTTGATCCAGGCCTCAGCTGGCAGAGTGGCTTCCCACCTTTACCTTGGACCCACATCATCCCAGGAGCTTTTCTTGACCACCTGTACTTCCAGTGGGTCCTGGCCATGATCTCTGGGCCTGCCCTGCTTGCCCTGCTCAGGTACTGTAAATATTGATGCAGCAGTGGGTTGTGCTGCCATTCAGAGGGAGAAATGGGTGGGTAGGAGCTTAAGGAAGCTCAGCATGGGCATCACTAAGGCCAGCATGCACAGAGGAGCAGTCTTTTGCACCAGCACGTGCTGGGGGCTGGAAAGCAGCTCCCCAGGAAAGGGTCTGAGGGTGCTGGTGGGCATCAGGGTGAGTCTGAGCAGTGATATGACCTTGTGGCAAAGAAGGTTAATAGTATGTGGAGCTGTGTTGGCAGGGGTCTTGCTGGCAGCTTGAAGGAGGTGATCCTGCCCCTCTACTCAGCACTGGTGAGGCCATCCCTGGAGCACTGGGTCTAGCTCCAAACTACCCAGCACAAGAGTGATGTGGAGTGAATTCAGTGAAGGGCCAGTAAGGTGATAAAGGAGCTGCAGTGTGTCCCATGAGGAAGGGCTGAGGGAGCTGTGACTTCAGCTTGGAGGGATCTCACCAATATAAATAGCTGAGAGAAAGCTGTAAAGAACATGGAGTCAGACTTGTGGCCACTGGTGATAGGCACAAAATGAAATGTGGGAATTCCATCTGAACATAAGAGAACAGTTTGTTTACTATGGAGATGACTGAGCACTGGCACAGGTTGCCCACAGAGGTGTGGATTCTTCATCACTGGAGATGTTCAAAAGCTGTCTGGGCATGGTCTTGGGCAACTGGCTCCAGGTGATGTTACTTGAGGACAAGATGACATTCAGAGATCCCTTCCTGCCTCATATATATTCTCTGGTTCTGCCCTCCAGGAAGTGTTATTGCCACTGGCACCCCATCCCTGGGGTGCAGCTGCTCCCTGCCAGCAGATAATTAACAGGATGTGTTGAACGTGGTGAGTATGAAAGTTGGCTGTTACCCTGAGCATACTAAGTAGGAGCAAGGAAGAAACATCCTGGTACCTGGTCTTGGTGTAATTACTCCTGGAATGCTGTTCCCACTTTGACTATACATGTTCTACGAAGTGTTGAAAAATTAGGGGGAGTTCAGGGTCATGACAATAACCAGAGTGTGACACACTGTGCTCTGCAGCAGAAGTATGAAAGCACTTAGTTTATCTATTCTGCAGAAACATGGTTAACTTGAGCTTTGTCTGTAATCAGCTATGAAAACACTGAAACTTGGGCATGAGGTTGGGGCAGTTTCAGACCAGAATTCAGAAACCTGTCTGGAGAAATACTTGATCCAATGGATTGGAGATGCAGCCCAACCAGTTCAGTTTGGAAATAAGATACAGGTTTATGCTTCTCCCGGAAACTTTCAAATAGAGGTTGCAATTTGTCCTCAGAATTCTCTGTAGCTCAGTTACAGCACCAAAATAGGCAGATCAGATCTAACAGCCCTTCTGGCTAAACTGTCACAGCGATTAGGTCTTTGCAAGTGTGTTGTTCTGGCTGGTTTATCAGTACATGGCAAAGGATGTCCATTCCAGTCACTCGGGCATTCCTACAAACTCAGCAACATGAGCCCCTCCTGGCAGAGCACACATTTCAGAGTGGGACCTGCCTGTGTTCAAAGTTCTATGCTCTTCAAGCCACAGAATACACTTGGCAATAATTAATGCCTCTTTACCTGAATGCTTTAACAGCCACAGATCCTCCTCTTAGGGTTCATGGACCAGTGTTTAAAAATCATTCGTATTAAAAATGTGGCATGGTAGCCAATGAAGAGAAGGGAACTTCCAAAAAACCCCAGTCTTATGGCCAAAATGAGCTCTCAGACAGCTCAATAGCCCTGAGAAGCACTCAGAAAAGAGTAGTGTTGATCCGGTGAGATTTCCTTGGAGCAGAGTGGATGTTTTCCAAGTGCTCCATTACTTGTCTAACTATTTTTTAGTGCTACTATCAACAGGCAGAGCTGAAATTTTTTTTTTTTTTTAATCTCAGCAGTGCATCAAAGGTTTTATTTAAATTGCTCTTATAAAAAATTAATGAAGGCATTATCTTGCTGGGCTACAAAATGGCAGGAGTGGATCACAGTGAGATGAAATCTTCTTAAAATACAGCTGTCAAAACATTTTTTAAATTAATATATCCCTGAGTGACTCTGCACATGCACTTGCAGTGCAGAACTAGACCAGGAGGAGGAGAATTTCATACAAACGTGCTTCTAACACGAAGCAAAGCCAGGACACAGAGAGTTTAAAGGGGAGCAGCCTGCTTGTGGTCCACACACACGAAGCTGTCTCTAAAGCGAGAGGAAGTTATTCTTCCAAAGAAAGATGTCGCACCAGACAACAATGTAGTGGGATGTGAGATACCGTGTGAATTTCTGAGCTTGAAAATGCAGTGACAACTTCCCTCCTTGGGTGGAGTATCTGTGCTGGTGATGGGTGTGAGTGACTGTGCGAATCTCACTCCTGCCTTCTGCCACGAGCAAACCTCAATTACAGTGATCCCCCTCAGCTGTGCTGTTCCCCGTGCTCAGCCCCACAGACCAGTGATCGCCCTCAGCTCTGCTGTTCCCCGGTGCCCCCCAGCAGCTGTTCCCCGTCAGCCTCACAGCCCTGCCCCTCCCTTACCGATCACGGCCGCGGAGCGGACGGGCTGTGGGGTCGCGCTGCTCCAGGAGGCTCCGCCGGGAGTTGTCCATCTCTGCGCGGCTCTCTCGGCAAAGAACGCGTATTGCAGGGCCCGGGCCTGGCCCGAGCTCAGCAGGACCATGAACAGCTCTCGCTCCCTGCGCACCCCGTCGGCGAAGGGCATCTGGGTGGCGGCCCTGACGGCCTGGAAGCAGAGCTCCGGAGCCAGGCACCCCTGCGCCCGCTTCTTCACCCTCACTCGGGCTTCGTTGAGAAAGGTTTCCGTGTTTGGCAGTTTGGGGGCTGGCTTCAGGCTGAGCCTGCGGGGTCCCAGGGGCTGGTCTGGGGGGAGAGAAGCGGGATTACAGAACAAAGCATCCACATCTTTTCAGACATAGCCCCTCCACCCCATTCCACAGGATGGGAAGGCGGTTCACCTATTTTCCTCTCTTCATCTCACTGCATTAGGACTTGCATGTCACAGTGAGATGGGTCTAGAACTACAACATCTGACATTTCTTCTTGCCTCTGCTTGCTCTGACATTTGCAATTTTTCAAGTCCCTTCTCAGACTTCAAAAAAAGGAAGATTTCAGCCTCAAATAAGTAATTCTCTCCTTTTTCTCAGCTCCCACAGTGCTCTGACTTCTCCACTTCTCTTCCTCCACAGTCCCAGCTGCCACATTCATATGGCTCTTTCTTATAAGCCTTTGTACTCAAGCTTTCCTCCAGTATTGTTTAGTACCCAGTGCCCAGATGACTTTGCTAGCCAGAGGCATTCCAGCCAGGGTGCTGATCCAGGCATGGATAAGAGACTGGGAAATACACCCTGATTTCAGCTCTACCCTGACTGCAGGAGCCCCTTAATTCACTTGAGGTCCAACCACGAGGAAAGCTCACCCAGCATGAGTTGGGGAGCAAATGAATAACAAGGGAGAGTTCATGTTTCTGTGTCAGCAAGGGGTGAATCAAGCAGCCACACAAATATGTGAAGCTCATTACAGACAGTGGTTGCTATGGAGATACCTAGAAAGGATTTTAATTGAGAGAAGTTAGTTACATTTCAGATGCCAAAATCCTATGTCTCCTTCAGAAGCACAAACTTGGAGCCTGCTGAGCGAGCTCTGACCTGGCCATACTCAGGAGTTCCTGTGCTCTTAATGGCAGCTTGCTCAGTAAAGACTGTGGAAGCACAAGATCAGAAATCCAGGATGTATCCCCTTAATTCTGCAACATTTTCACAAGACCCTGTTGCCGCCACGTCCAGGTCATTAACTGCAGCATGTCACTGCATGGATTGCTGCAGTGCTGTTCCCAGAAGCATCTGGGACTGCCACCAAAGCAAGGTGGTGGGTTGGGAACCTTCTGCTGAGAAGCTCCTGGGTATGGTCTCATTGCCCTTGCCACACTTCCTTCCAAGGCAGTAATATTGCATCCAGCTCCCCTTTTTCTTCCTGTTATCTGAGCTAGGGAAATGCCAGTGCACCAGCAGAATACTCAGGAAGTCATCCAGAGGATGCTGAGGAGCAGGAATAATGGCAGTAGTGAAGGCATGGTTGCCCAAAGAACTTGTCCCGACTTGAGCTCTTCCTGCAAGACTGAGCAGTGCTTAAGAGAAACAGAAATGTGAGTTTCTAGAATGAGTTATACTGTTTTCCTGAAATAATGGTCTTCAGAGCTCAGGCTTTTTAATTAAGCCTTTTAGAGAACATAAAAAGATGAACACTCACTGTGTAAGTAGTCTCCCTTGTAATC